GCGTGGCGCAGGGGCGGGGCGGCCGCGGCATCAAGGGGAGGCGGGGGGCCGGCCGGATTGGCGGCGGGCGACGGCCGGCGGCGCGGGAGGCCGGGAGGCGGGAGGTTGGGAAGGGAAACTTCTCTCCCGCGCGACGAGGGAAGGGAGTGCGGGCTGGGGTCGAGCGCCCCCCTCCAGCCCTCACTTCTACGGTTCGAAATTGGGTTTGAGGGTTGGACCCTTACTTTTTTTTGAGGGTTTGAGGATTTAGGGATTCTAGTCTTTGCGTTTTTTTGTTGCAACCCGCAAAAAAGCGGTTATTTACGAGGGTTTGAGGGTTTAGGGGTACTACTAGTAATGCTCTAAGTATGGTTTAAAGGCAGGCTCAGTGGGGGGCGATCATGCCGACATACCTCACGCTGGACCTCATGAAACGAAAGGCACAGATGCCCAATCTCTAAAGAACAAAAAGGCACAGATGCCAAAGACCATAAAACACAACTTTACTTCTTAGATATATACAGATGGCTTCCACGAGGGAGAAAGGTATACATGATACAAGGAAACATACTAACCACCGCCACCACTAGCGAAAAGGTTGCTGCTGCTAAAAGTAACAATTGCTGAACTGCATCAATTCGTACAGGTACCCAAACATCATCAATATATACATACGCCTATTTACTACTGTAGCAAGCAACGAGGGCAAGGTCTACGGCAATATGCATACTGCGGCTCACCGCCAGTTCTCGCATAAAACCAACTGGCGACAAAACGTCATGAAATGCCAGAATGCCTCTTCCAGGCATTCCTTGCTGACACAGAACCAAACCCACCACAGCAACGCACACAATGTCTTTTGTCCGTGAACGAATCATACGTGGCTCTCCCGAGTAGAGTGGATGATCATGGGCAATTTCCCCGAATGATCAAAGGAAGAAAGAGCGTAATTAGAGCAAAGTTAGCAACTTAGCATTCAGCAATCTGCATTGGCAAACGAGGCTGGGTAGTCTGAGCCACTCTGCGGAGTGGCCGATTCATGTGATGAGTTCACACGGCTGAGCTTGGCGGCCTTTGGTGCCAACTGCTTGGCCTCCTCATATGTATAAATGTAAATTCTTTTCGCCATGTTGCAAAACTCGCTGCAACAACATGAAGTAGAGTGGAATTAGGACTTGGATATAGGAAAGCTGCATCCATTCACAGACAGTGATAAGGGTACTTACTCCCAAGGATCGTCCCCAACGAGCATCATATCATCCTCTTCATCCGCATAAACAACCTGCCATTTCTTGAGTGTGGAACATAGCTCCCCCTGTATATCAAACATCTCCTCCAACTTGCGGTGAAGATCAACATACCCATATAGCTTTGTCAAGTCCACTGCTCTTCCAACTGCCATTCCTGTCATAATTACCTAGAGGAGGAATCATAATGAGGATCAGTACTAAATTACCCTGAACCCTACAAGAATTGAAAATTGAGCATCTTCAAAATGTGACAACTATCACCTTTGTGCAGCTTCTAACTTGGCGACTTTGGGTCTCAAGAAGAGCACGCTCACTGCTTGCTGCTTGGGCACCAGAGTTGTTCATATTGGATGGCTGCGAGAGCTCGCCAGAGTCCACGTCTACAGATGCAGCCGTTTGGTCATAACCATCACCTGAGACAGTTAGCACGGGTTGTGTTTCTTCCACAGCAGATCTTATCTCAATTCCAAATAATCTGCAACCACCAGCAGCTGGTTCAAGCTTTCTTTCAACAGTGACTTTGTTAGTACTTCCAGCATAAGAGTCTTCTCTTGATTCTCTTGCTGGCCAGTAGAACTGATTGAATGCAACGTTTGATGATGATGAGAAGCGTGAATTAGTAAATAACCCTCGAGCCTGTTGTGGCTCCGAAAATGAGAGGGTTTGGCTTGGTTCAGCCGGGGACTTCCATAGTCCTGATACAAATAGCACCAGCTTAGATATGTAAAACTCAAGGATAATGGACTAGACTACATAAAAATATGATATTCATGACTGAGAGCTGAGCATTGCATCCATAAACCACATATATTAATCGTAACAGGTGCTAAGGAGTTCATATATCTTACCAAATTTTGGAGCAAGTTCTGGAACCACAGAAGGTGAAGCTGGAAGTCGGGGACGCTTATTTCTCAGTGGAGGTTGAGGGGGTTGTGGATTAGCTGCATCCAGTGGCTCCAATTCCCATGGTGAAACTCTATCTGGACGAAGAATGGATGAAGGCTCATCCCATTGGACCTGGCAATAATTACAGGAAAGTATCAGATATGAGAAAGCAAACATGGAAACATGATAATGCACCACTAAAAGCACTCCAGAGAAACTGTAGTTCTAGTTGAACCCTCAAAAATACAGAATCTTAGTACCTTCAGAGATTTCCAATCAGAATCTGCCCATAGAGATGTTGACACCGTCGGCGTGCTCCCAATACCAATTATTGTTCCACTGAACCTGTAACCAGGGAAATGTTTGTCATATCCACCTAGATGGTTGGAATAAAGCCAACATCTCTTGTCAAAAGCAACCCCAGGTTACCTTCTTTCAAGAGCTTCATCGCCTTCAAATTTCATCTTAAATCTCATTCCAACAGAAATGTTCTGCTTCTTCGCTTCAAGGTACTTGTTAACACTCACCACAAACTCAGATTGACTTGTTCTGGAAACAAAATCAGAGAGGCCCGGTAAGCCTTATACACCAGATTGTATGGATAAAAAAAATCACCAATTGTTAATACTCATTACGACAACCATGATGCCATCCCAGTTAAGCAAAAAGAAACATTAGTTGGGTGAATTCTCGGACATAAATGCATAACAGGTATAATAGACCAAATGAGCAAGAGTTGTATCTCACACCTAAGCAGAATGTACAACATACATAAGGAATTGCCATAGCAATCAAGTAAAAACTGCGAAAAAATCTTTATTATCTTGCATTACTGCTTGGTTGCCAGAAATAACCATTACCATGCAGCAACGGGCATAACAAAGACGAAAACTGGTTGAACCTTACCTGGGTTTATAGAAAACAGAAAAGAGGGTCCCAGTGGAGATTGCATGGGAGGCTGTTGCAAGGACTCCAAGATGCATGCTGTGGCTTGATATCACAGATGATGGCATGTTATTTACTTGCCTCATATGCCTCCTTACTCCAACCCGCAACTCACCATTTTCACCTCTGCAAATGATACAAATATTACTTATTACTATTCACCAGAATTAAGCCGAGACAGGAGAGAGGTGAAAATGCATAAAAACTGCCTCCACGTGACAGGATTACAGTATTGTGTTGTGTACCTCAGAAAGATAAATGCATCACCAGCAACCAATCTTTTTGAGCTAACAAAGACACTCCAGCCAGTTGTAAGTAGATGTCGCCTAGGCTGTCCTGAAACACAAAACGCCGTAAGGTATGAGATAGAACCAGACAGAGGGAGAGAGAGTTCACACATAGTCATGAAGTAATGAATCAGTATATGCTGCATGTTTCTGCAGTAGTAAGAGTTCAGCATTCAATTGTGACATGAAGTGCTACACCGAAACAATTAAACAATAAGAACACAGCGACGAGAAGCTTAAAGGGGCTTCAAGCTGAATGCTCAAATTGTAAACTCACCCCGAAATATGTGACGAAAATGCCAGTCAGTTCCATGGAGATCTTTGGCTACCAGTTCTTGACATGGTGGATTCTGAGACATGTCCTGTGAAGCAACCCTACCATTCAATAAGCCAGAAATAGTGTAGACATCAACTGGAGTAAAAAATGCTTTCAATGCTAACCAGCGGAGGAAGACACTCTTCAGCATGCCTCCTAAGAACAGAGAAACCACCATGGGTACTCGTATCCGAAGCTGTCAGTGTCTTGCAAAAGGAATGTATGGTGCCTTTTTCGAGTTCTTTTGGCTCAGGACCCAAGCTTGTGAGCTCACCTTGCTAATAAAGGGGGTTCAAACAGGGAAATTAATGAATGTACATGTAAACAGGGACATGAAACTGAACTAACAAAGTACTGTAGACTGTAACATGAAAAGGGCATAAGATTGTACTCCCTCCGTTCCGAATTACTTGTCTTGGATTTGTCTAGATACGAATGTATCTAGACTCATTTTAATGCTAGATACCTCCGTATCTAGACAAATCCAAGACAAGTAATTCGGAACGGAGGGAGTACATTGGAAAGTAAAATGAGCCATTTGCATGTTAGCAATGGTTAAAACAGGAAGACTCACATTAGCCTCTGGTTGCAGCATAATTTGAGCGTAAACTTCATCTGAATCAGCTTCCGTCTGCATTACAGAGTTCAGCCGGTTAGCAAAGGATAACATTTCTAGCTGCATAGCTAGACCAACCATTTCCCAGACACTCCAAGCAAAGAGGTTGCAGCAGGCAGGTAAAAAGACACTGACCCGGAGCTCTACGTTGACCACGCTGCATAGGATTTTGGATGGTAGGTTGAACATCGGCAGGTACTGGTCAAGCTGCTGGTTTGTAGATGCCTCAAGCTATACAGTAAATCATGATCAGTTTGAGAAAAATATTATATCTAGCAAGAAGAATTGATCAAATGAGACAGGCAGGCAGAGAAGATATATAAACCGGTGAGTACCTGTTCCATATGACCCTGGGGAAAGTAATAGACTCGTTCGCCTTGTCTGGGTACTGTGATCAACGGACCGGCACAAGCATGCCATAGCTCCCGGAACAGTGCGTCGCTACAGATTCCTACATGGAAGCAATTGATTTACAATATTAATTAGGTGATCAGACGCTTTAGAACAGGAACAGCAGAGGCCAAGGATACATGGGAGTACGACACTATTTGCTTTCTAAATTTCCGATTGTTGCTCATTTATCATGAAATTTAATCATGATTAGAAAAGTTCAAGCACAAAACTCTACCCAACTGAAAGTGTCCGTTACTCCTATTTATCATTAGCGCATCAATAAAATACTGCCATGTGCTAAATTTGCCACCATACGGATTCAACACAGATCAAGCATATTAACAAAAATAGAAAATACTAAGTCACACGAATATCCATACCTTTTCAATTGACTGGATCACGCTTCGGAATCGGAAGAAAAAAAAGGAAGTGAATCACAATTCACATCACTCCATAAAGTGAATCGCAATTCACATCACAGGCATCGGTACGAGAGAGCAACCCATCACTCCATAAGGTGCGGTACTAAATACTATTACTAGAGAAAATTGGGCAAACATGGTGATTACTTTGAATAGAGGGCGATTTACTCGGATCAATAAGAGCGATTGCAACCCAAATACTGGAAACAAAATGGACAGGCTGGCATCGACTCAAGTTAGATGAAGTTTCGCTAATTTTTCTGCACAAGCAGTCAACTAGCCGAGTCCACTTACTTAATCAACTACCGACTCAGTTTAGGCGAAGCCTAGCTTACCATGAGAGAGAAACCGGACCAACTTTTAACCAAAGCAGTTCCCCGAAAGGCAAAAATCGCGTAAACGGAAACTGCGACAACAGAGGGCTGCAAATCGAACCTGGGGCACCGGCCGCGGAGGGATTCGCCATCGCCATCGCGGCAGCCACGCTTGCCGAGCCAAACGGCAAGAGAATTCTCTGTGAGCGACGAAACCAGGAGCTCCTCGCGATGTGCTAGCGTCGACGCCGCGGCCGGCCCCGCTCCATGGATCTGCCTCACAGGCCCTGGTTGCTTGCGGCCGGGCCTCGAGGAATTCCCGCGAATTGGGCGGGCGGCCGTGGACGGGGGACGGAGCGGTCGGATCCGGGTCACGTGGGAGGCTGCTCTCGGGGAAGGGGATCGGG